TATAAAATAGATTTGATTACTATAAGGCTATACCATTAATTGCTGTAATGGTCTAATTATGACTTATCTTAATGATTAATCAACTTGTAACTTGAATCCTATTGTAAAACATGGAAACATTTCCTTTCCATGGATGTTCAGAAGTCCTTGTGACAATAGAATGAGTGCCAGCATTCTTTTATAGCTGCGGGCAGAAAGCTACGGAAAAAATGTATGAGTGATTTCTGGATTTGTTCTTTGTTTGTTTTTGTTTTTGTTTTTTCAATGATGTGAACTTGTGATCCAGGTTATGACCTGCAGACCTAGGTCAGATCTCTACGTAAATCTTCCAGCTCTGCGCAAATTGGACAACATGCTTCTTGTAAGATTCACCAACACTTGTTAGTTCATAAATGCTAGTATTTGTCACGACATTCTGAACGTGATTTTCTTGCACAGGAGATATTAGATAGTTTTGACAATACTGAGTTCTGGTACGTCGACCAAGGGATCCTGGCCCCTGATACTGATGGGTCAGCCTCTTTCCGAAGAACCCTGCAGCGCCAAGAAGAGAAGTGGTGGCTACCTGTGCCTCAGCTACCTCCTGGAGGCCTCCATGAAAATTCAAGAAAGACATTGCAGCACAAACGTGATTCTACAAATCAAATATTGAAAGCTGCCATGGCTATCAACAGTATTACTTTAGCTGAAATGGAAATCCCTGAATCTTACTTGGAGGCTCTTCCAAAGGTATAATCACCTTAGATCTATAAATGGCGTTAGCATAACAAAAGGTCAAGTTTTTTTAAAATTGTTGTCCCCACCGTTATTTCAGAATGGAAAAGCGAGCCTAGGAGACCTCATCTATCGATATATTTCTTCAGAACAATTTTATCCAGAATGTCTCCTTGATTGTCTAGATTTGTCTTCCGAACATCAAGCTATAGAACTTGCGAACCGAGCGGAGGCCTCAATCTATATATGGCGCAAAAGAACCAATTATAAACCTGCCAACAGTACAAATCGATCCAGTTCAAAGTCGTCATGGGAATTGGTCAAGGAACTGATGATTGATGCAGACAAGAGGGAATTGCTTGCTGATAGAGCAGAAAGCCTCCTACTTTGCCTGAAGCAGCGATTCCCTGGTCTTCCACAGACAACTTTGGATATGAGCAAAATCCAGTACAACAAGGTTTTGATTTCTTAGCCCGTTAAAATTTATTTTATTATTTTGAATTTCTTGTAATGTCAATTTCATAATCAGTTAGTTTACTTAATTACTTAGGATGTTGGGAAATCCATTCTGGAGAGCTACTCGAGAGTTTTAGAGAGCTTGGCATTTAATATTGTGGCACGAATTGACGACCTGCTCTACGTGGATGATTTGACAAAACATTCGGATCGTTTCTCTTCAATCTCTAAAGTCAGTGTGATTGCTCACAAAAGTGTAACAATTCCATACTCGGTCCCCGTCTCAAACACTCCATACAAAACAGCTTTCAACACACCAAGCTTTTCACCAGGTCAACAACGAGTGAGCCCTGCAAAGGGAGACCGATCGCCTTTCATGACCAGTGGCAAAATTCCTCAGCGTGGTTTAGGCGTAAAGAAGGTGTTGACAGAGTATCTCAGTATAGATACAGAAGGCAGGGATGGCGGCAACATGATCGAGGGAGCAAACAATGTGATTCGAAACACCTCGGCTTCTCATACCGGAGTTGAATCTTTTGGGTCTATAAAAGAAACAATCAGCTCACCCGAGAACAGATTTTCTGATATCTGCTAGATTCATCTGCTGATGGCTCCTTGGTGCATGTCTTTTTTTCCCCATAGAATTAGGAAGATGCTTGAGAGTTGGGTAAAGCTCATCATGTTATTTAAACCTTAGATGTAACGAGATGAATGTAATGATAATGAGTTGAGTGCTTCATGAATCATTCATGTAGTTCAAGCCTTCTAATGAATTTGTTGTATGTCGATGAACTTTTCTTGATTGACCCTACTGGGAAGAACCGAAGAAAGAGAGAAAATAGGGGCATTCCGAGAACTAAACCCGGGACCGCTTGCACCATGAGCGAGAAGCATATCATTAGACTAAGTATGTTGGGTGTTTTTGTAAAAATAATAGTTTTTTCTCAGCATTTATTTTTAATTATTGATATAGTTAATATTTTTTTTCAGCATTTATTTTTAATTATTGATATAGTTATATTAAAACCATTGATTTATTTTTTTTTAAAAAATCCTCATTCTTTAAATGAAAAACAGTTTAAAAATCAAATTTAACCAATAATTAATACTTCCAAGATGCCCTTTGTGCTAAACTAATAACTATGAATGTTTAAAGAAGAAAAATGATAATTCTCAAAGGGAAAAGGAGGTCAACTTTGCTGACTTCTTAATTACTATTAAGAAGAAAAAAGAGAAAGCATACGAGCGTTGTTGGTTGGGGATCATCAGGACAACAATGGCTGCTATCAAATTTAAAGAGGAGACAGTAAGTGATGTACATGAAACTTCCAGGCTGTTTTTTTTTTTTTAATTATTATCTGTGAAAGTAGTTGATTAAAAAGAAAGTGTTAATATTAAAAAGAATATAGGGATGCTAACAAATAATATAGAGATGTTTTCGGAACAAGTACAGAAGCAAATAAATACTTGACAAATTGGCAATTTCAGACTAATATTGTTTTTTCTTTGAATTCACTGTGAATTATTTATTCAAGATTCAATTAGAAAATAATTTTATATTACCGAAAATACCTTAAGTTGAACATTCCCTGTGATATTAAATCTCAGGCGAAAAAACAAGCCATCAACCATTGGTGGCCCCATAATTATTATAGATAATTAAGACATCTTCTCTTTTTTATGATATATTTTACTTAAAATACTATCTTCTAATTCGTATACTTTTTTATCATTCCAATTATAATTACGATTTATTTTTATATTTTATTATTCAATATATTCACACAACTATTTGTTTAGTTAGGGAAAAAAAAGACATGGAAGATACCCTTTTCTACCTCATAAAGTTATTAACGACTCATTGAATTTATTTGGGATGTTTATCCAGAAATGATTTATATGAACTAAATTTTTTTCTTTTAGGGGATTCTCTATTACTATGGTTCCGTATTTTAAAAAATATAAAGAGCATTTATGTAATATATATTACTTAATTATTACAAGAATTAACAAACAGGTCGTTGTAGTATAGTGGTAAGTATTCCCGCCTGTCACGCGGGTGACCCGGGTTCGATCCCCGGCAACGGCGTTTTGCTTTTGTTTATCTTTGGAGTTTTGTTAATCCTCAGCGCAACCAGTAGGAGGCTGGCGTTTTGCACGTGTATGACGGTGGGTGGCCGGCTCAAGGGGGAGCTTTTGCTTGCTCGTTGGAGTTGTAGTAACTATGTAGCCTTTTCTTATCGTCACAGGATGAAAAAGATATGAAAATAGTTGGAATAAAAATATATTTAATTAAAAAATAAACATAAACATGTAATCAGCATATATTTTTAAAAATAATATTTTTTATTTTTATTCTTAAAATATTTCTATAAAAAAATCTTAATTCTAAACTTGTTGAATTAAAACATTAAAAAATAAAATTAATTATTATAATTTTAAAACTCGATTGAGGAAAAAACTAAAAATGTTAATCTGAATTGATTTTGAGGAAAAACTAAAAATGTTAATCTGAATTGATTTTAAAAAAATCAAAATAATATTATTATTTTAATTAAAAAATATTTTTTAAAAATAAATTAACAAATATTTAATTTATATTTTGATCAGATTACAGGTTGATTCAATTTTTTAATCAAATCAGGCCATGCCAATAATTTCTCTATTGTTTTTGAAACATTAAAACCAACCATGAGCTTCAAGGCAACTCATTGGGGCAATTCAATTTTTATAACTAAATTTATTATACTATTATTAATTTAAAAATAGAATATATGGAATATATCTGAAACATTGCTGGTTTTGCAGTCATACACTTCCGTGATGTGAATATATCTGAAAATGGACTTGAAGCACTTAAAAGCTGGTAGCTAGTTGTGTAGATGGTAACTACTTGCTTTACTTCTCCTTCTGGTGACTAAAAGCTAGCAGCTGGATTGTATCTAAGCTGAACGTTTGAAGAGTCAGTATAGGTTAAGCTTTGAACATTGACTAGACCTGTGCTCTCTTTTATACTCTATTCTTACCCCTCCCAAGAAAAAAAAAAAATGCCAAGAGCACAAAGCTCCAAGCCCCAATTGATTGAAGCAATTCGAAATGACAGATAAGTGTGGCCCATTGGTTTTAGATTCAGAAACATCGAAATCAGATTTAACAAGGCCGAAAATGTGGATGCAGGGTATTTGTCTTCGGCTTAGATATCTTCTTTCACGACCAGAACTTCGACGAAACCACAAACTCGATGACAGGGACTGAATCAGAAACGTATCAAAGGATGAAAATCCAAGCTAGGAATGATCTGATAAACAAGTTTCCCGCCTCTACAACGATGATGATGCACAAGAACAAAATACAAAATAGTAGAAAATAATCATGGAAGAACGCTTCATCACCTCAGACATTGAAGCTCATCACATAACTGAGAAACTGAAAACAAAATCCTTGAATTTCAGAATTGTGCAGACACACGACACTACTACCAAATCATCTGTCTTTCATAAAACTAAACCCGATCCAAAGTGACCAAGGAAACATGTTTTTACTGTCTAAGATCATAAACAGTCCACAAGGTTTGACAAAGTGGATTGGCGTTACAAATCCCAACCTTGATTTCTAATAAGCGAAATGGAAGAGAGAATAAGCATCATCAGAATATCCTAAAAGATGAATTCAAATTGAAGTTCATAACAGCATGAATGGTTTCTGCGGCCAGATGTATTTATGGATGTGTGTACAGTTCCGGTGCATATGATATGACACATCCATCCGCCACAGCCAGAAAAAATGAATAAGTAAAAGCCGGAAAAAGAAAATTTTTCAACCACAAAGCATTTCATAACTAAGATTTTTCTAGCAGTAGATTGATGCTAGAAAAAGCTTCTAAACCAAGTACTTTTATTGCAAAAAGACCAAATAATGTATCTGCCTTACAGCAAAATAAAAAAAAAGCGCCATATAGCCTTGTCATATATGTGTGTGTGTGTGTGTGTGTGTTGTTCCATGGCTGGTGAATTTACAATAATCAGCTTTGCGCTACACGCTGACTGATATTTCCTATTGCAACAACAAAAGGTAGATTAAACTACTACCCTATAACTTGCCTTTATACCTGCAAAAAAACATGAAAAAAATAATCATATACAAAAGATAATAACTGGCTGTATTAATAACTATGAACAGACCGAGAAGTAATTATTTACTTGTTTTGAAAGGAAATAAGACAAAAGGGAGTTGCTGAAGACATATTTAGGGCAGTTATAAATAAAAATAAAAATAAAAATAAAAAAGAACATATTAAGCATTTACAAACGTATTTTCAACTCATACCAGATGGCGTATTCTCTTCTAAGGGTGATGTTGTGGCTAAGATGCGAAATGTCTCTCATAACCAAAGGGTAAAACGTATATGGTAAAGGATTAGATGAAAAACAACTCAATGGGCATGAAATATATTTACTACATTTCAGGTAACTTTTAAATAGAATTATTTCAATCCAATAATAGTTTAACCACATTAAGTGGCTAAATTTAAAAGGTTAAATGCCAAAAATGGGAAGTTGGGGTGAAACTGAGAGCACAAAACTTCAATCCATAAACAAAGAAATGAAACTCCAAAAGAACGCAGTCCGGGCAAATATCTAAGCAGCATGTTATATTCCCAACAATAAGTAACTCGATCCAGATTATATCAGGATACACTATATCTAATATCCAAATAAGACCCATCTAACCAGGTAAGGTTATTATGATAAATATTAGGTTGAAGTAAAGTTAAGTATACAGAGAAATGATGAATCAAACTGTTATAAAAAGTACGTGTATTTGCAGTACGTGTCTTAATGAATCAAATACCTATATATATATATGCCATGGCTCGTGAGATCTTAGTAATAAAGGCCCCCTGCATGAAGGAAAATTTAAAATAACAAAAAAGTGAGTTGAATTCAAGTTATTTTCATAATGCTATATGCTACTAACAGGTCATACCCTGCCACCAATTTCCTCTTGAAGCACTGCCTGTGTCATCTTCAGGTCCATCCTTTTTGAACTAATGAGAAAACAGAACATGTTAGCAAGTTCCTCCATTTGTACCCCCTAGCAGCAGGGCTTTAACATGCAAGGAAGAGTCTGCACAAAAGTTTCAATTAACTCGTTCCTTGCCTGCATACTTAGACATTAAATTAACCCAGATACTTAATACAAACCGGTAGATGAAATTTGTGCTGACAGGGTGACAAGCTAAAATGTTGCCATCTATATATGTTCTGTATAAAAATTACTTTTGCCATTTGAATTTTTAAACTTATGGGATTATTTAAAGCATCACGAGATAAATAATTACAGATAACAGCCGACAATGCTCCAACGATTGGCCATGTTGATTGCAATGATTATGGTTATGGTTAAGACTAAAACTACAACCTTACATAGCATACTAATATTAATCCATACATACCATTGGGTTCATGCTTGAGGTATGGGCAGTCTGAGGATGATGATAGATATCTTGACCCCCATAATAGATTGATGAACTAAGATGACAAGGTTGTACTCTTTGCTCCTGATAAATGGAACTCATATCTTTGTTTGGTATGCTCTGACTTTCACCTTCATTCATTTTGGAAGTCAAATCTGAAAATAATACAGCATAGAGAGAAAGGTTGAACTGAAGATCTTGAAAACAATGTAGATAACTCCTTTTCTATATTATTTATACCTTTTCTCATGCTTTTACAATTTACACAGGTATAAAAACAAAAAAGTATCTAAATATTAGAGCAAAGTGGCAACACAATGCATGATTCTATGAGGAGAATGTGATTTATTTTGTTTTCATAATTTGTCAAAAAAAAAATTGTAAGCAAGGAAAGTTGCAGTGCCATATTCTTTCCTGCAATATCCGAGAAAACAACTAAAATTTCTAGTATTCATAGAATTTGAGAAAAAAACAGACTAGCCAAAGCAGCACAAGCTACATGCGTATATGTCGACATAACGAGCAAATCTTGATGTAATAAGTGACACTTTCCAGTTCATTCTACAGACAACGCAACGGCCAGCATAACCATGATGCATATTAATCATGCCTGGAAACAATTGTCTGGCACTCAAGTATACAACTTACATAATCCAAACAAGCATTGAAGGAACAAGGAGAGAATATCGATTCATGGCATAGAATGATGCTTGTAATAATTCTGGAACCAAAAGGAAATTAAATTCACAGGCTACATCTAGTACCTGAAGCTGGAGTTCCAGATTTGGTATTCCAGGCGTCATCTGCGGAATCCTGCTTTTTCTCAGCCACTTCGGAGCGCAATGACTCTCTCCCTAAGACCTGGATCAGGACCAACACGATGAATTTCGCACCTCAACACAACAAAGAACAGAACACTTTAACATAAAAAGCGCTATAAGCTAAAACAACAGATGTTATGCAGAGAAAGGCCAAAAGAAGAACAGGAAAGTCCCACCGAACAAACATCTTATCGACCACCTCCATTTAATCATACCATCATGTTAAGTTTTCATGATAAAACTCGTCTGTGTGTTTAATATATCACTACAAAGAAAAAAACAGTTAAAATGGAACCACTTCTCCACTTTCCTTATCAATCTTTACTCAATCATGTGAATATATATTTACTACCTCAAATCTATATATATAACCCTTGAAACGTTATATCGACAGGTTACCACATACAAATCTAAAAAAAATGAAACTTCATAAGAAATTGAAAAATTAGCAGCAACACAACACCATGAAGAATGAGAAAGCCCCATTAGAAATATCCAATGAGATTTATCGTATGAACATGAAAAAGAAAAACTGAGACAGAATTTAATACGGCAGGCAATTATTAAAACCTTGGGGGACGCAGGTGCAAAAATAGAGCCAAAAATCCCCATAGAAGACGGTGAGTACTCCTTTGAGCCAAACAAGTCGGAAGTGAAAGAAGAAGACGAGGACCCCGTTTGTTTCTTTCCCTCCATTTCTGTCCTTCTTTCAAACCCAACCTAGCTACTCCTCTTTTTCTATATATATATATATGAATATTCTCACTCTCTTACCAAATACAGAATCTCTTACGCTTTCATAAATGAGAGAAGAAGCAGAAACGCCAGAGAGGGGGGGAGGGGGGCGCGGGGGGAGGCGCAAGAGGCACGTGAAGATCCAGCTTTGGTATAATCGGAAACGTAACCGTCGCCTAACCAATTTTATAAGGCAATAAAAAATTCAAATTGGCAAGACACCTGTACTCTTGTTTTAATTTTAGTGGGTCAATAAAATCACCTCTGTTTTCCTTCCTTGGACATGTAGGTCGACAGAGTGGTAGATTTGAGCCACGTGTGAATCTGGGACCTACAGTCTACGCTGGATGTTCCAATATCTTACTGCCACGAGTACCCCCAGTGGATAATACCAATTCCCTTTTTTCTCATGGGTCGATTTCTTGGAGCCCATTTTTGATGTGCCCTTCGCTTCCCTTCGATTTAATGGGGCTCCTCTTGGATTTTATTTTATTTTATTTTATTTCAGGCACTGAAAGTTAGAAACCACCCAAGGGAGGGAGGGGCAGCGGACCTTATCTTCTTTTTTATCTTGTCGGCCCAATGCTGGGGGTCTCTCTCATAAACTCACTATGAAGGGTTCGGGTTGATTAGGAGACTGGTCAGGTGTCCGAATCATCAAGTTATTTCCGTCTGATTACGTGGAAGTATCTTTTTTTATATAGATTTAATGTATTGATATTGAAATTAAATTTTTAAAAATATTATTTTAATAAAAGTAATTATTGCTAGCATCCCAAACACCCCTTCCATTTATTTTTGACACGGACCCAAATTACAAAATTGGATTAAAAAACTTGTCTTTTAATTACAGATAAAGCAACACCGTCGTTCATGTGAATTCTGAATAAGTTTAGGTAATCAAGCAAAATACATGTTGATTATTTTCCAATTATAAACTCTCAAACTCATTGAAATGAAGGATTCCATATGAGATTATGACTTTCAGATTTATTTAAGGCATAGAATGTGCTTCTCATTCTCTCTAAGTATGTGAAGGTCTGACCTTGAAATGATCTATTTAGGACTCGATTTTATGTTTTCATGACTCTTGATTTTTATCAACAAATCACTAAACTTTTTGAAAACTTATTATAATCTGAAGGATTATTATAATTTATTTTTTTATTGTTGTGAAGAATTGGTTACAGCCATCTTTTTACTATTTGTTTTTGGATAATATCAGTATAAAAATTATTCTATACCCTTAAGTATCCGTGATTTACCAAAAAAAATACTTAATGTTAACAAAACACTTGTACACCAAGAAACACTATTTATTGTAATAGTATTTTATGTTTTATTTTAATTTAAATTTTTAATAATTTATTTTTTAATTATTTTTTATTTTTATTTTTATTTTTTAATATTCAGGTATTTTGAAAATTATATTTCATAATTTGTTTTAAAATTTTCTCTTTATTAAGTTATATATTGGTCTTATAGAAATTTTTTTTTTTAATTTCAACTTTCAACATTAGATATGTTGTAAGTGATGTTTTATAATTTATTTATTTATTTTTTGTGAATTTATTTTGATTTCATGACACATGTTTTAGATTTAATTAGTTAATTCAAGTAAAATCAAGTTGATTTTTTTATTTTTTAATAATAATTTTTTTTAATTTCATCATTTAACAATAAGTTAGTTGAAAATTAAACTGCATAAATAGTTTTTATTTATTTTCCATGAAATTATATTGATCTTATAGGTTTTTTTTTTATCCTTCAACAATGAATTAATTGAAAATTAAGCTTCATAAATATTTTTTATTTATTTTTCATAAGATTATCTTGATCTCATGATACAAGTTACAAGTTTAATAGGTTGATCTTAATTGACTCTATTTATTTTTTGAAATCATTTTAATTAGATTTCATAGTTTTTTTTTCCTTCTGTGTGGTTATCCTCATCAGGCAAACTTGAGTTATTATTTTGTCTATTTTTAATTATTTTTTAAAATTTTATTCCCCATCAACTCAATTTTTTTTATTTTTTTATTTCATCTTTCAATATTAGATTGTCTAGAAATTAGATTTTGTTTTTTTTTTTCAATTTGTTTTTTGTGGAGTTATTTTTTGTTTCATCAATTAAGTTTTTTTTTTTTAATTTCATCCTTCAACATTGAGTTAATTGAAAATTAAGCTTTGTAATTTTTTTTATTTATTTTTTATGAAATTATCTCGATTTTATGACTTTATTTATGAGTTCATCAAGTCACCCCGTGTTGACACGGATAGTTTTTTTTATCTTTTTTTTTATATATATATATTTTATTTTAATTTATCCCTTCAACATTGAGTTGATTGGAAATTGATTCTTATAATTTATTTTAATTTTTTTTTTAAAGTTATTATAATTTTATGACCCGAGTTACAGATTTAACGTTAGCCCAAGTCAATTTAATATATTATTTTTTTAATATTTTAAAAAATATCATTCAAAGCATTGTTGTATTAATATTTAAAAAACACATCTATAATATTTCAAATATTTTTTATATAAATATAAAATTAATTTGATCTGCAGGCAACACAGGTCAATAACCTAGGATATCCTAAAATACACATTGAATAGTTTTTTTTCGTGAAAACATTTAAAACAAATTAACCATGTGACCGACCCGTGCGGCATCACGATAACGAGAAATAAGAGGGTTTTTTTTATAAAAAAAAAATTAATTAGAGTATTAATATTTAGAAAGGCTGTGTGCTGGAATGAGTGGTAGGGGGGCGGTGTTCTGCTTTGTTTTATATGCAGTGCACTGACAGCTAAGAGTTGCATTTAGTGCGATGCACGTGAAAATAGGAGGTTGAATAGCTTTGAAAATACATGTTTTATAAAAAAAATTATTTTTAAAAAATATATTGAAAACTAGAGGTTGGAATCAATATATAGCTAACAATTTAGTGATTAATTTATGAGCTTCGGTGTATCTCGGCACCCAAAGCTATAATTTCTAGGTCCGCCCTCTGAAGTATCCATCCCATATTGAAAGTCTATAAAATAAAACAAGAAGAATTCTACTTTAAATTGAAAAATGCAGAGAATAAAATAATATAATATAAAACATCAGTGGTCTACCTAATCTGATAAATAAACTAAAATTTTTTGTGCAACGGATTCTTAACATGGACAAATAAAATTGAAGGAGGTTAAATGTAGGGATATTATCATTTAATTTCTCTGATATTAATTTTTTTTATTAACGTAGTTGTTTTATGTATATCTTGATTAGTCTTGTAAATTTTAAAATTAATAATTATATAGACATTTAGTGATTATCATATAAATCATTATAAAATTCAAATCTAAAAAAACAAAAATAACAAAATTTTAAATTTTAAATTATTATTACTGATCACCTTTTATCTTAAACTTTTAATAATGGAAGACCTTGATGGTCGTTATTATAATGTTTTGGATAAGGAAGCTAATACAAGTGGTTAGATTAACATTTTTATAAAATCACAATGTAATATGTTACTAAAAATAAATATATGTTTAGTAATGTGATACAAATTATTTTTTAATTAAAAACACATCATAATATATATATATATATATTATCTAAAAAAACCTAAATTTAGGTGTTTTTTAATGATATTAATTTTGATGTTTTTCAATAATATTAGTATATTAATATCAAAAATATTTTAAATAAGAGTTTCAACCATGATTGGATACGGCATGATACTCCGATACAATTAGATAAGAAAGAAATAATAAATAAATACGTGACAATGAAAAGAGAGTGAAGAGATAACGAAGGGCAGGGTCCATATGGTTGCAGTGACAAGACGAGGGGCCCATGTGGAAGGTGCAGTCGTTAGCTAGCCACTGTGGGTCGCCGCGTGGTGTCTGTGTGTCCATTTTTTAGCCACATGGAGTGTCGCCGTCCTAGATGTTCCACTACGGCATGCATCAAGTTCCCTTATCACATGTCCTTGGATATGCAGGGTTTAAAGAGTAGATTACTGTTCAGTCCCTACTTGGTAGTGAAATTATTAGTTGGTGCATTTAGTTTTAATATTTTTACAAGGTATTCCTATATTTTTATATTCATTTATAATTTAAGATAATTTTTAATGTTATAATTGTAATTATTTTTTTAAATGATTTGCTTGAAAATATATTAAAATTATACATATATATATATTAATTTTTAAAATTTATTTCTGATACTAGTATATCAAAATAATATATACAATATCAAACAACCAATGAAAATTAACATTTTAAAAAGGATTTAAAAAAAAGGTTGTTTTGCTAGGCTGAATGTTAAAGTGGAGATTTTATGGTGATGGTAATTGGATTTATGATAAAATATGATAGCGGTTTGCTATTATTTGTAGAGAAAAATGGAGGAAAAGAAGAAATGAAGGAGGGGAGGGAAGCGGAGGGAGGGTTGTTTTTTAGATTATAAATTAAATATTATTAATAATTTTATAGATGAATTTCATTCATAAGTTAATTATATTAGTAATTTTGTTTATATAAATGACATAATATCATATTATCTTTTAGTTTTTTTAAAAATTTTTTTAATTGTAATTTTTTTAATATATACCAAAAAAATATTTTTATCGATACTCATCTATATATATAACAATAAATTATTTTATTTGTAAAATTCACCATAATTTACTAATAAAAAATTTATTAGTATTTTTATTTATACTTGTTAATTTTTTGGCAGTGAACCGAACTTGAAAATGAGAAACCTTCATCGAGTTGTTTGCTCTATTTATTAATAATCTCCTGCGGTACAATGATTATAATACAAGATTACCACCACAACTCATTTCCAGTCAGTAATTACTAATCAGTTGCATATGCACTGTTTTCGATACAATTATTAAACTCAATCCAGTTAGCACGCTAACTAGTCAATTTGAATTTTAAATCATATTGAGTTTCAAAGTTAATAGGGTGGAAGTTAACCCAATTATGACCTAAATAACTCAACACGAGCACTCGCAACTTGATTGATGCAGCCAAAATTTAGATTAAATTAAAAATAAATTTTAATTATAATGTAGATATAATGTTTTATATAATAATAAAAATACCAAAATGGCATTATCCTAGGTCAAAATGAGATAATTTATTAAATCCATGATTTATATCATAGTCTTTATCATATTTA